CACGGTGAAAAGAATGTAGTATACTTTCATTAGAAAAACTTTCATTAAAAACCTAGTAATTGTTTTAGTATTACCACACTTGTTGGATAAAAATAATGAAAGAATTATATAAATAGCAAAAAAAATTTTCCATTGCTAAAAATTCGCACTTACGTTTAATAATATTTTCATAAATTATCTCTGACGTCGTTTGACACGCTTGGCAATTGAGTTTGACAAACTAAACTCAATGGGACTTTCACAAGATGTTGATTCTGCAGAACCAAAAAGGGCTTTGGCTAGGTCACAACATTATCTCGTGTTAAAGATGGATGAAGAAAATTGCTAAGAATGCAAAAAAAAAAAAAAAACAAGGGAAAAGTTGTATTCGACTTTGTCATGACTTTTCAGGGTTATCGTCGAAGTAGTCAATAGAACCTTTCATAAAATAACTAATCAATGTACGCTTTCCAGAGCTCGTTTATTTTGTGCATGAAGCAAATTACAAATTTAAATTAAAATGACATCGCYCATTGCGGTTATGGTTATATATTAGCTTACAAAGGTTATAATGCTGCAACTTGTACTTCATATTAATGGTGTTCTAGCTATTCCCAATTGGAGGTGTCACAATTTGGTAGCACATGCTTTTTTGCCTCTACTTCTGTCAATCGTTTCCCATATTTTACCAAGAATTTCAGGAAATCTCGGAATAGCTTACTATCGCACTCTTTCACTTTTGATTCAAAGCACTCAAAAACTTTCTTTGTGACTTCCTCACCCAAGCACGGTTTACTCTTGAAATCACGAATCATGTTACTTGCGATGTAATTGGCGCATTCATTGGCAATCTTGACGTCACATGCTTTAGGTTTGGCTGCAACTAGGAGAGAAAATGAAACAACAAGATAAGGGGGAGGGCGGAAGGCCTTTGGACTGGGTGACTTATCGCCACCCTTTTAGATAGCAAAGTATCTGATAATTCCAAAATCAGGTAAACTATTAAACGATAAAACATTTCTTAACATCAGTTCAAATATCGACGACCGCTATTATTTTGAAATGGAATGGTCCAGAAACAGATTCATTTATTACTGCTTCGATATCCCATAATTTGAGCTTTCAATACTTCAATTTTGCTTGGTTTGAAAATCAAAGTCTTCCCACATTAAAAATCCTGGATTCGCTGGGTCCTGGGCTCTCATCCCCTTGAGACGACATTTTCAATGCATGTTTGTCATATTTTACTTTTGGAATCGATTTGCAAACTTATTCCATTTCTTGTTATCTTACTTACCCAAACCTGCAAGGTCTGCTTTTTTCCTGGCCCATTCAGGAACATTAGCTAATGGAAAGATGATTATTATATGTTTTAGAAGCACTGAGTTAATATAATAGTCTTCTCGTGTATTTTGTATCCCAGTGAGACAACCGTTGAGCGTGCATGATAAAGCGTTTTTCATACCTACAGACAATTATTCACAGGCAACGTATCTATTATTGCACGCTCAACGATTGTCTCGTTACGATGTTACGGCACGGCTACCCTTCAAGAGTGGCGCAGTGAACCGTTAAGGGGACTTTTTTTCACTAAACTCCCCAGAGAAAGATTGATAACTTTTCCAAGTCACTGAGTAATATTGGTTTAATTACCAGAAAGTGTCGCAAAGCATTGCATGAGAATCCATTCATCTCATTTTCAAATATACTATTGCTGTGATAGCACGGACGCTCTGATTGGTCCAAGAGCGTGTGCTCATAACTAACTTTCTATATCATAAAAGCAGAGTAGAGCATGAATACGCCTTTTTCCCGTTAAAAGCGAGCAACCGCTGCTTTAGTTGACAAACCTCTCTCATGCGCAAAGAGCTTACCAAATACAAAAGAAAGCACGACAAAATGTTGTCATTACACGATAGCCCCATAAATTTGCATTTTCTCCGATTCTGTATTGTCCCAGAAGGTTCAAACTCTTGCTCAGGCTAAGCCTCAAATCGGAGAATATTCAAATTTTTAGAGCTATTGTAATGCCAACATTTTTTCGTGCTTTCTTTTGTTCTCTACGCAAGTTAGTCTGTTGTCTACTAAAACAGCGGTCGCTCGCATTGAACTGGAAAAAGGCTTATTGCCGTGCGTTTAACGGTGATCGAACCAGAGCACTAGGAGATGTTGGGAGAACACCATAATAGCGAATGTCAATCGTACAACGGCGATTGCACGACCTAAACGTGGACATGGGTCATTGCTAACTGATGACAAATAAACAACTGATTTGTACTGTAAGATAGTGATTCCATTTAATTAACATTATTTCAATCTTTCAATGCAATGTCAGGTGTATCCAATAAGTGAAATTTCATTTGTCAAAACATTCTAACCAAAAACCATTTCGTGCAATCTCCCTTCGACGATCGTCGTTTGGCGTTTTCTTTGGCAACGCTTTTTGAAATAGGTGTATACAAATGAGAAATTGACACGCAATACTAAGGCGCTAAAGAACTCAGCGTCGGAAACAGCTCATTTTGCTGTCCATATAATTCCATGTTAAATGTAACTCATATTTCCAAGGATATTTCTAACTGAGGTTTGTGTTATTCATGCGTGGAACGAATATGTAAGAAAAAAGAAACTGAAGATGGCACGGAGAGTTGTCTAGAAGCTCTAGATATCATTTTTGTGTTGTCATTTTTGTTGTTCGTGTTTCTAAAATGCTGTTTGTGTATGTATTAGTGATACTATGGCTTATGGTTGTCGTCGCTGATGCTGTTTTGCTTGCTCTTTCGTTTTGGCATTTTTTTTCCTTTTCTTTTTTCCTTTCCTTTTTCCTTTCCTTTTCTATTCTTTTTCTTTTTGCGATCTTAATAATGCAATTGTCGTCACCTAGTAAGTTAATCCGTTCACTAGTTTTGATAAATGCTCATTTTTCAAACATATAGAACACCTTATTGACACAAGTTTATGTTAAGCTTCAAGGATACCTAATCATAGCAGTTACACAATGATAAATAAGAAACCTCATTGTGGCATCGTTCTCTCGAGAACAAATTCTCGGTTTGCCATTTCCTAATTTGTACGAGACTTCTTTTTGGATTCATGATCACCGACGCCAAGTCATAAGCCTGCTAAGGGCTTGGAAAAATTAAATATATAGTAAGTAAAGATATTCACCTTTTGTTAGCTTCTTTAGCTCACCAAGGGACTCATGGCTAGGACAGACTCCAGTTTTCTCATGAAGAATCAGTTGCTCACCAATTCCCACTCGCTGGACGTCAATGACAATTCCTTTGCAGGATTGGGAATCACGACCCAGACAATTGCCCAAACTCTAGCAAACAGGCAGTAAATAAAAAGAAATAAATAAATACACAAATATTTTGATTTTGAAATATTGATTTTTTCCCCCTCGTGTTTTTGTTTTTAATCGATTAAATATATATAAAATGCACATTTACAAAATACAGAATTTTTGAGCGATTTTGGCTTACGCGGATTAGGTTCCCTTTCTACCTAGATTCTTGTATTTTTTCACTTAAGAATTTCCTCCTGGATTCTCAGAAGCTAATCATTGTTACTCAGAAAGGTCAACGGTGAATCACGAAAGTTACTTTATCATATAATTATCTATGAAATACCTATATTTCTCCATTTCGTAACTGACTTGATATCTTCACTAGTGAAAATAACACATTCGAGAGGTTTCTCTATATAGTGAAAGTAAGAAAAAAGCTATTTTACGACACAATTTGCTTTCGTATACAATTATATGATAAATAGAATATTACATGTTCGCTTGGAGATACGAATTTTATCTTCTCGTGTTGAAAATCTCTCACGAGTGAGCGTAGCGAAGATAAAATCCGTATCTCCGCGCGCCCATGTAATATCCTCTATGTAATAGTCTTTGATGGACAATATTTACACATCCCCCTTCTAAACAACTCCAAAAGATCAAACACACAATTCTCTGACAGCATCCAAGAGTTAATATTGTCACAGATTATCGGCAATAGCAATAAACCTATACTCTGGAGTCTTCGACAAAAGACAAAACTCAAGTCTCGACTTGAAATCATTGTTTACTGTTAATTCACGCGTGTGTGGGATATGTCTATTGCACATCCAACGCCTTAGTAAACATCAAACTATTTTTAGATAGACATATACTAGACTAATAAGAAAAGAGCCTAAATAAAAAAAGATGAATAAAAGCTGCCACAAAAACGGGACAACCGATTTATCAGCAAAGAATTCAATGAATACAAATTACTAGCTTTCTCTCCAGCGTGAAAATTATTTTCACTAGTGAAAATAACATATTCGAGGTGTCTATATATTTAGAAGTAGAATAAAATATATTACGACATAATCAGCTTTCATATATTATATGATGCTACGCCCACTCGTATGTATGAGATTTTTTAGACACGTGAAGATAAAATCCGTATCGCTGCGCGCCCAAAGGCCGAAGCTAAGGGCCTATCAGTTCGTAGTCCACGAGTTCTAGAGGTCTAATTTGTTTTAGTATTACCATACTAATAAGTTTAGATCTTGAAATAAAGTTAATCAAAAAGACAAACGCAACTAGATTCATTTTTGCGACGTTTCGACATCCTCTGATGCCATTCTCAAGCAATTTTGAATTTATTACAACTGAAGAGCTATATATACACATAAAACAATAGCGAAAAACAATAAAATAAAATATACAAAGTATTGTTCTAAACAAATAGTTTCGCGCGCACGGAGTCTGATTGTACGTTGAGTGTTGGCTTAAGTGATCTTATATAAAACATCTCATTTATTAAGCAATCAAATTTGCTCGTGCATTTTTTAATCACAGTAAAACTGTCTGTAGGTGGAGCAGTCTTAAGACCGTGTTCTAGGAAGCGATGTTTTCCAATCGTTGAGTAACGGTGCTCATCAATTCGCTGGTGTAAGTGACGTGCTGTGTAGCCAACATAGCTTGCATCACACAAACCACATTGAAACTTGTAAATAACATAATAACCATACTAACCAAATAACCATACTAGTTTGACAAAAAAATCGGACTCGAATATCCGTATATATGTCCACGATGCCATGAAATATCTTTATATATTCGGAATTTAATTGATTTTTTTTTTTATTCAAATCCCACATCAGTTGTTGCAGATCGATATACTAGTGAACCTTTACTCAAATGTTTTGTACAATTTCATAATGTTTTTTTCAGGGAGTTGATATAACTCCTAAAAAAGAGTTGAAAAGAAATATACTGGATAACTCCATTTCTGTAGTAGATTTAACTTCCATCACCAATTTTACTGCACTAAGTGGGGGAGCTATTTTAAATCCTCTTCTTAGAGCAGTTTTGAACCCATTTTGGAGTAGTTTTGACTCTTTTTCCGAGTTGATTGAAACTTCTGGAGTAAACTGAACTAAACGCAACAAAGTTGTTGGATCAGTTCGACTTAAGATATAGGTCTCACCTCATAAACCCTGCAATACACTTCTCTTGGGTTCTCTCCTTTACTTGCACTTCTCCAAGCATTGATAAAAACATTGCTGCATTCACCAAGATATTTCGTTTCACATGCCTTCAGGTCGTACAAATCAACAGATTGAATAAAGAGAAAAGCCGAGAATAAAACAAAGCTTTTCATTTTTGTGCTTATTGAACTTTCTCAAGGTGTTTGGATAATCGTATCTGTATAATAGCGAGAAGATAAGCCTTATAAAAGGAATCGATCGTAATAGAAAATTTTTGATTTGCGATAGTGAATCCCCGAGAGACCAACAAGTCCAGCAAAGTAAACCAATTACAGCACAGTACGTGACGCGCACAATTGGGAATTCCCGATGGAAAACATAACACTTAAAAAATTTAGTAACTCGAATTATTTCATGACATTCTCGTTTCTCTGAACCTTCGCTGGAGTTTGCAACCCAAGTTGAAAAATTAGTTTCATCGCATCATGTCTTTCTTGAAAAGAACCATTACTTATTATCAGTATAATATTAAAGCTTCCTGATTGAAAAATAAGTCTGTGATGTTTGATCACCAAAATGATTAATAGATTGTTTATTAATATCTTTTAGCTGAAGTCCGCATGCACGACGGGTTTTGAAAATAAGTTGACTTAAGAACATTTTGTGGTATAACCACACTTTTTACATACGCGATATCCTTCAACACGTGGTTATGTAAATAAAAGATTTTTTAAAAACGTTTTCGTGTTAGATATCAAAGTACATGTAAAAAATGCACTTTTAAATTCAAATGACGATAGCTCCGCAAATAAATAATTAAAAAACGCCGAACGGCTTTAACAGTCCAAAAGAAGACAAAGTGCAAATTACGATGAAAAAATATATACCTTTTTCATGTTAACTTCGCTAATACTCGATTTTTGATTGTATTAATTTGTAATAACCTATCCAGGGGCTGCGGAGCCGGGGAGAAAGCCCCCCTCTCAAAACACAAACAAATATTTTGGGGTATTATTTGATATTTTGGTGCCTGTGCATATACATAATGGCTCAATACATGATGACTAACATACTAACATGTACTAAGGTTTGACTAAACAAAGCCAAAATATGATTTTATTTCATGACATACTCGCAAAATATTCTTGACAATTTTGCTATTATTAAGTGCATGGCTTCCCGGTCCGCACGAGGATGTACGGTCCTTATTTCAATCAATCACGCCTCGGCATAACTTTAAAATATACTCGTTCTTTTTTTCTTTATGAAATGCAAAGCGAACATCTTATAGATTCTCTAAAGATAATGCGAATGCAATCTGAATGCTAAATTTTTGCAACAATGATAAAAATATTTTAAAAAATGATGCGGTGAGAAGATATATGCAGAATCTATCAAATGGACCGCGGCCCTGGTAAAAATATATATTTAAAGGCAAAATTCTTTACACTTAACGTAACCTGGACACGTTATGTTCCTCGAAGTGCTTCTTGTTAATTTTGATTTTTTGCTGACCGAAGCGTTATACATTGCCAAAAATTTGGGTCAAGATGGCGACGCGCATGCATTGTAACTCACAAAAATAAATAAAATGGCTTCCAATTTGGAAATGTTGTTGGTGATGCGCGAACTAAAACTGATCAAAGTATAGTTCAATCTTTGTACTCACGGCAACAACGGTTAACAATAAACAGCAGATTTTCTTCCTGGGCAGTTTGTTTGGCCCTTAAGCCTTCAGATCTCTCATACTTTTTCACTAAAATCGTTCAAGGTCCATGTACATATCAGTCGGTTTGAGGGAGAAGAATATCCTGTACATCAAGTGCGCGACTTTTTGTCAAGTAAACATTGCAGTGTTTAAACTGTCTAAATTGCAGGAAAAAACGCTGAATCGCTTGTCCATTTTCTTCCTGAAGACCCTAAACTTTGCAATAATAGCCTCGTACATGAACCGCCATTTTGTTTTCAAGCTTTGAGTGGGAAATTATTGAATGAAGAAACTCTCTCACGAAGCCATTCTGATCCGACATTTTAGGCGGCTTAAGGCAGCTTAAGGCAGCTTTTGGACACCAAAGCTTTTGGACACACAGCTTTTTGGACATCAAATTTAAATATCAACGTAGCAGTTACAGTATGCCCCTTTAATGGTACCGTTTGCTCAGTTCTTAGTCTGTTATCGTTATAATTGAAGACTTCTTGCACTCAATTGCATGCTTTTCAATTTGATATCATGCTCTTCTTATTTTGAGAGGGAATTATGTTTTTAAACCTCGTCCTGAGAACGAGTTTGGATATTTTTGCTGCAATTCTTATTAAACCTGCAAACTCTTGAGTTTGATGTCTTTACACTTGGAAACAACAACGTGGTAAATCAATTCATTGTTGAAAGTTGATTATCAATACTAATCAAAGTCACCAAATAATACAACAAAACAACCTGAACTTAGAGCAAACGCAGGAAAACCATGAAATAAAATCAAACTAAATACTAACAAATAGCGGCTATTTAGAGACAATTTGTCAGTATCAATGAATCAGAACACAATGAAGATGAATTCACATGGGACCATTTTTCATTCATCTTTATTGCGTTTTAGTTCATTGATACTGACAATTTGTATTTTTCTGTATACGTTGATTTAATAAAGATTTTAATAAAGATTTTTTTTTGTTTTTATCTAATTACTTTTATCTAATCAAAATTAGATATTGTATTTAATTCACTTGAAGACTACGAAACCTTATTTTTAGCTGAAAAATCAATAATATAATTGTCGGCAAAACTATGAATTTCTGATCCTACAATAATCAGTATTTTAGATACATTTTAGATTATAGTTCCTGTTGCTGTAATACAGCAAGCTATCTCAGTGCTACAATTAATGTTAATTCACGGTTTCTAAGAGTAAGACACCACTCGACGATCTCCTTCAAAGCGCCGAGTTTTAAGTTAGATAGATAGATAGATAGATAGATAGATAGATAGATAGATAGATAGATAGATAGATAGATAGATAGATAGATAGATAGATAGATAGATAGATAGATAGATAGATAGATAGATAGATAGATAGATAGATAGATAGATAGATAGATAGATAGTTCAATAGTTCAATATTCTTTATTAACATGACCTCAACATTTACAGGTATTGTTAAAGCGTAACTTATATTTGAAAAACAAAACAAAAAAAAGATAATTATGATAATATAACAATTAAATATTGCTATTTTTTCTACATTGATAAAATATCACAAAAAGACATATTAATATAGTGATATAAAGATATATAGAGGATATATGATATATATATCTAATTATATTTTGAAACTAAGTTATTGCGTTGTTTTAAATGCTATTCCAATGTGAGAAAATTACTGTTTTTTTTTCGAAAGTTCTTCTTGACGAAGCKTAAAACATTTGTAAATAAATTTAGAAAAGTATTGGATCGTGTTTTCGTTATTTGAGTGAAATAAATGAAATGTACATGTTGAATAATCTGATTGGTTATTAGTAAAGAAATCAATCTTTTCATAAAATTCTTTTCGTAAATCATCATAAAATGGGCAATGATATAACATATGAATTTCTGATTCAATTTTATGATGATTGCACAAGTTACACGAACGGTCTTCAATTTTAGTTTTGTTATACCTTCCGGATTCAATTGCAAGTTTGTGGTTACTTATTCTAAATTTTGTAAAATGTCTTCGTTGGTTAAAATTTTTGATTATGTTTAAATAATTTTCAGATTCGTAACTACCTTTAAAAGTTTTGAAAAATTCAAGCTTCCTAGAAAATGAGAGATCAGCTTTCCATTTTTCAAAATAATGGTCTTTCATTTTACAAACAAATTCCTCAAGGGATTTGTTTGTWATTACCTCATTTTTAAATGCAGTTAGCTCACCTAAGTTATAKAATTGGAACATGTTTTGAAAATTGGTGTGAAAACTAGATTTATTTCTAGAAGATAAGGATTTAGAAATTAAAAATGCTTGCTTAGCTACCGAATCATCAGGTAATGTAGTCAAATGATTATAAAATTTCAAAATTAATGTATCAACAAAAATTTTGAGCGGAAACCTGCCGAGTTCGGATCTACTAGCAATGTTTGACGCTTTTCTATTTATWCCAAGATAATATTTACAAAAGCGCAAATGCACTTTTTCTGTTTGAGATTTATCCCAGTTATCAAAGTTTTGTTTCTGATATGCACCCCAAACGTCACAACCATATGTTAAAATATCGGGACTATCATTGAGTCAAATAATTTATTTGCCTGTTTTGGTTTTAATTCTTTAAGATCCGCAATCTGAGTCAATTTGAAAAATGCATGAAGTGCTTTTTCTCKTGATTGATTTAAATGTGCGTTGAAATTGCCCATTGCACTTAATTTGACACCTAAGTATGTGAATTCACTAACGATATCAAGTTTATTCTTATTACAAGTAAAAGAGGGGTGGTTGACTTTTTTACACGTTTTCTTACTAAATATCATAATTTTTGATTTTTTTTCGTTAATATTCATGTGCCATTTATTACAAAATTCCGAAACAGTGTTGATGCAATTTTGTAAACCTTCTTTTGATTTTGATAATAATACTAAATCATCTGCGTATAAAAGAGAAGTAAGTTTGTTGTTATTTTGAAGAATTATTGGATCTGACCTTGGAGTTCGATCAAGTTGAACAGATAATTCATTTAGATATAGATTAAAAAGTAGAGGACTCAAAATACATCCTTGTCGGACACCTCGTGAGTAATCAAATGTTTTTGTACGTTTTGAACCTAATTTAATAAAACACTTTGATTTGGAGTACAGACTTTTGATAAGATTATAAAAATGTCCATTAATATTATAATCCTGCAAGCGCGTTAACAAACCAACATGCCAAACGGAATCAAAAGCTTTTTTAAAATCAATGAAGCAAGCATATATCTTTCCTCTACTAACATCTTTGACATATCTATCTATAATTGTTCGAAGAGAAAAAATATGATCAGTTGTTCGGTTGCCGGGTATAAAAAATCAGGACATTTCGCGGCCAATTCATTTTTGGTTTTCAAAATTCACAAAGTCAGAAATTGTACACATACAGTTTCAGAGATCTGTTCTCATGAACAAAAAAACTGGCGATTTTCAAGAATCTGCAATTCCAAACACTTACGACTCAGAACTCTGATGGACAAATACTCGGTTTTTCTTTTCCCAA